CGTGTAAGTGGGTCGGCGCAGAAGAAACGCTGCTGTAGCATCTGTGGACAAAGCGGGCACAACGCAAGAACATGCCAAGTAGCTATTCCATCGTCCTCTTCAAACGATGACGAGTGATTTTAATTGATTTGAGGCGTTGTGGTGTAGCGTAGGAGCAATTGATGCCATAGACCTGAGGAGGGGTGGCCACTCGCGTGGGGTGGCCACTCGCTATGCACAGACGTTAACTACCGATAATTCACCTCGTCTGATTAGCTCGTCTACAGAACCGGGTACGGCGCATGTTACAGAATGGACAGGTGACGCGTGAGCCATAATACGCCCCACCTGGTGCATTCGGAGATTTAAGTTCGGCACAAATGTTCTAATCGAACTCAACAGCAGCTGCAGCTAATGTGCCGGAGCCATAAACAGCGGAGGGCCGATGTGGACGTAGGCACCAGAGCCCGCCGGCATGCGTAGAGAGCAGGCATCAATTCGCTAGGACTCGAAGGAGACTCATATACTGTATCAGTAGATTTGAAGACAAGTGAAAATTAGCAGTAGGGCTACGAACTACATGCTGAGAAACCCCTTTCCCAGTGCGAACCTTGCGCTATTCGACGAGCTTCGCCAGCTTTACTTTACGACCACCATCCGCATGTGGCGGTGTTTTCACGGCGACGAAAGTATTTTGACCCGTCTCAGCAACCGCATGCACAGCCACATCGTCATCAAAGGGCCACTCGTCAAGGAACTCCTCTTCGCCGCGGGAGTCGTACTCGACGAATTGCGTCCTGCCGAGACATTGACGTGCTGCGGCCCATGCGTCCGCACGATGCACATATACTCGTTCTATCTCTGCTGTTTGAGCTGCGCCGGTGCGGTCGACGTTGTAGTCTATGATGGTTTGCAAGACATAATGCAGAAATCTGGCGCCGTCAGGGAGCTGTACATCTCCATCGTTGCGGACAGCGAGGGATTCATTGTTGGGCGTCGTATCGATGCGCATGGTAAATTCCTGTCCAGCGGGTGTGCGGGCAACCACCGTAACGCCCTCTCCGTGGCTCCAAGATGCCGCCGAACAAAGGGCGGAGGGTACGTCGAATTGCTCGAAGTCGTTATCGGTATCACATGAACGGCAGCTTAGGCGCCTGTCGAGGTCAATTGGAAGCCACACATTTATTTGTTTTAACTTATTCAAACTACGTTAGTTCATCAAAATCATCTTGCAATAACAGGTCATCCCAGGCCTTCTCCACCCTCGCTTTATGCTCCTCATCCGCTTTCCGGTTGGCTTGCTTGTTGCGTCTAGCCGCTCTCCACAAGACTTCGTTCTCACTCTCATCCAAACTAGGTTGAAGACTTGCACATTCTCCATGTGGCGTAACTTTCTCAGGGGCCAGACAGCTGCCCGCACCGGTGGTTGCGTAAAACATCACCAACGGCTCCAAGCGCGTAACGGCAAAAGCCTGGGTTGAGTAACCACGTCTCTCCGGCGGTATACTCGTCGGGCTCACATCCCAAAGACCTTTCCAGAATTCCATCGGCCAACAGCCGACAAAGGACCAATACACTTCCGTGGAAGATTGAGTCGTAGTCGATGACTCCGAACAGACCCATGTCAGGTCAAAACGATGTTCCGGCCTCTCGTCACACGATCCCCAAAAAGCCAACGCCTCTCGGCGGATATGGTGGAGTACCCCAGGAGGGAACTCAAGGAAGACACAATGACTCGCACGGAGCTGCGGGCCTGGCCAAGATAAACCCCAAACTCGTAGGGGTTCACAATCGAGCTGCCGTCTTTGATTTGCATCGCAAATCGAATAGATGCGCTTCGTTAATCTCCGGCGCAAACAAGCAAAGACCTCCACGAGGTCATCAGAAGAGCCACTCAAGTAGCCAAGCATGATACATCTCCCCGAGAATCTGCGTTCTCTTCCATCAGAACGCACCTCACAAGACCGGCCGTGAACACACAACGACCTTTCATGCGGCCCAGCCTGCATTATCCCAAGATGCAACCTATACGGTGACGGCAAAGCAAGTGCTTTCTCAAGCACGAACGTAGCGTATCGGAGCGATATCCCGCACGGGTCGAGTATGGTCACACTATAAAGTGTCGATGTATGCCGAAGCGGCGATGCGTACCGGGCTCCCAGCCGAACGAGGACACTCTCGTGGATGTCGGTCGTCAAAAGAGTTTTTACAAGATCAAGTTTGCTCTCGGCAAAAGAAAATCGAGCCCTCTGCTCTTATGCCCTAGGCAGTGATCTGATCACGTGTGGGGACCCCACAGTAGCTTGTAGGCACAAGACAAGGGTTGCATGCAAGATGGCAACCACCCTGCATCGTCGCTCTGCTCCGATTCGTTCATTTCATTCACTCCGCAGTTATGACTGTGATCCTCCGCTCTCCTCCGGATCATTTAGTAACTCCGTCCCCCGTTTGCACTCTGGACGGTTAGTGTCAATGTCAAGCCGCTCATTCACGTAGAAAGTTAAGAGCACTTGCTGCCTGCCATCGGTGGCGATAGCTTCAGGCAACCCGGCTTCTGCCTGCCGTGTCTCAGATGCCTGCCTCAATCGACACAGGTATAAAATACCGACTACACTCCCGACCGTTTTTACTTTCACCCCCTTGGACCGAGAAAAACTTTCCAATCAAGCCAGTTATGGATGTTACCCGTCTGTGTGTGGCTTTGCATGTGGCTGCTAACAGTACAACAGGTGATCGGTCCCCTGCGGGGACCTCCAATGCCTTGAGGAACAGAATGAGGGTTGTATGTGATGAATAATTGGCTTCAATCGATTGTCAGGATGGGATTGTAGGTTTCAGACGACTAGGGGTGAAGCTTGCGGCGAAATGAGTGGGTGGATTCTCTCTAGGGCGGCTTTTTAGGCACCAATTTTACCCCGCAACACCATGGCCGCCAACAGAAACCCACCATTGTCATCGATGGGCGGAACCCAGCCTTCAAAACAACCCACAGCTTTCGCGCGACACGGTCGATTCGAGAATTTCTCTCATTGAAATCAAGCCGTCATGGACCTTGCATGCAACAGTTGCAGGAAGTCGCCGCCCGAGGTCGATCTTAAGCGGTGTGCAAAATGTTCGACGACTCGGTACTGCTCCAGGGACTGCCAAAAGGCGGACTGGCAAGCTCATAAAAGGGTTTGCGGCAAAGGTCCCGAAGCTACGACAGCACTTCCGAACGAGTCTAAATCGAAAAATTTATCGCCGCCGAGAGGATTGGAACGCGGCGTTGCCTCGCCCTTTACGCGTCTTGATAGCGGCACTTGGCTCCATGATCGATCTGAGAAGGACGTTTACGGGCTGCTGATTGATGCATATCGACTACGAGCTGAAGACATGTACAACCTGGAAGGGGAGGCGGATGCCGATAGCATATATGGCGGTGCCGCGAATGGACGGCGTGGATTTAAGCGCTTCCTGCAACGTGTGGAGCGTCGTCCAGGGTTACTGCCGTCATGGTGGGATGAGGAAAAGAAGAAAGAGTGCGAGGCACTTGGTATGGACTCATCGCAATGGTACGACCTAGGAGCTACGGTGGAAAAGAGTGACATTATCGAGCAATATGGAGAGCCCCGATTCCCGATGCAGCTTCGCATGTTTTCTGAGGCTGTGTACGGACGGGCTCCTGGCGGAACAACTGGTAACGCAATGCGGCAATTGATGATGGCGATGGAGCAGGGGAACGCGGAGGGGATGGAATCGCACATGATGGACATATCAGGAGCCATGTTTGGTCGTTAGCGAGCAGTTATGCTAGGTCGGCACCCGACAGCGCCGTAGATGATCGAACTCTATGGTGCCCTAGGAAGGCTCCTCAATGAGGGCGATTATCAGTTGGTGGTTGGTGGTGGGCGGGGTAAGGCAGCAATTTCTAAGGCATTTAGGAACGACCAATGCAGAGCAGAGCCATTTGGGTACTCTCTATCAACAACGCACAGCTCATATGGCAATCTGTCAAGATTTGATTCAATGGCACCAATTGATTATTCGAAATGGGACGACATAGACACGGATTCGGAGCCGGAGGTGGCGTCCCGGCGACCGTTGGCGGTAAGCACCACCTTGCCGCCGGTGAATGCCTCACCAGTACTGGATACATCGGCTGCAGCCGAGAACCAGACAAATGCAGAACATGTCGATGCTGTCATTGTCCGCCGCGAGGTCGAAAAGCGCAGGTCCCTGCCTTGGTCTGCTACAAAAATATCTGAACATCATCCGATTTTCTCGGGGCAGGTCCCTCCCATCCCGGGGCTGATCGGGGTCCCGCTCGTTCTGCACCGGGTCGGGACTGAGTCTGTCAATCGAGCAGACCTCGACAATCAGATCGCCACGTACCTCAACATGGACGCTAATTCTGGATTCGCGCCTCCAGAGTGGCAGTCGCACGTTGGGACTGTTGTGGTGGCGCGCACAGACAGAAGGCCACTTTTGCCGCAGCACCTTGAAGGCATATGGATGTGCTGCGACCACATCCTGGACCTGTTTGGGGACGGGGAAGGACCGCCTAGATGGCTTTATAGCCGCCAGGCTTTCGAGAAATGGTGGGACGACTATTGCAAGGAACAGAAATGCTTACGCCCTGGGAAGGGAGGGGAACGTGATCCGGATGATTGGCGTGCGGTCCGCTCTCCTTACGAAGTGTAAGCCCCCAACTCTACGCAGGGAAGTTTAGCAAACATTCAAAGGAGCACCTTGTCACTGCTATTCGGAATGCCGACGTTTATATGCCTGTACCGTTTCGGCTGCTAACTTTCCGAGTCTTCGCATGCCGTCGGCCATGGACCGGTCCAGAGTGTTGCCAATGAAATCCTGTGGCCTCACAGGACTAAGGAACTTGACGCCCTGAAGCGTAGTACACCTGGACAGTTGCACATACAGACTCGTAAAGTCGCACCTGGAGGGTTCTCCATTGGTCATGCGAGTCCCACGCAGCTCCAATAGGATTTCCAGGAATGTTTTGCCCTGGGCTTTGTAGTCGGTGAGGACGAACGCTGGTGCCACGGGTAGCCCTCGCCGCGTGCATCTTGTTGGCAAGAATTTGAAGTGAGAGTTGGTCGGGTCAAGTGTATGAGACGTAGGTCGGATCAATACCGTCCCCGCTGGAAGGGACGGTATGGCGAAAGTCTTCGTCTCTTCGGACTGTAGAAGAATGCCTGACGGTGGTCCGAAGTAGATGGTCACGTCATCCGCCAAGTAGTAGCCTGGGTAATTGGGATCCGGTATAATGTCTGCGGCAGTGAACTCTGCTCCATTCACAACTTTCAACGCAGTGTAGATGTTTTTGTTGACGACCACGGGCATACCCTGGGCGTAGAAGAAGACGCCGGGGACTTTACAGGCAGAGTCGTCACCCTGCCCGATGGTTTGAGCTATCGTATTTGGAGAAACTGTGCCGTTGCGCCATGTGTGGGTGGAGACGAAGATACCGATGTCTCTCTTGTGAAAGCGTGCCCAGCCCACAACAGCTTCCATGTTGAGGGCCCACCGGTTGCGGTTCAGCGGGGTTATAGCACGCAAGCCATTATGGAATGTGATTTCGGGTCGGCCCACGACGTTGGCGTTGAGCAATTTGAGGTCTTGTTGTGTCTGGAGCCCGTTCCGAACCCGGTCGAGGAGCGCGCCGAACTGGGGATCATTCCGTGCTCGGACCTGCTCTTCGAGGAGCACAACGGTTTTGAACATGTGCCACAATCTACAGCCGCTATGGTGAGAGATGGTCGCTTGTCGCATGGGCGCCTCAGGCCGTAACATACCAGACTTCCGCGTCATCGGTCGTGTCTGAGAAAGTCCCAATTCGCGCAAATGGTATGTCGCGATCTTCCGGGAATATCCGTTGGTAGAGCCGACGATTACGGTTCCACCTTGATTCAGTAGGCAGGGCAGGGATCGGGCTGGTCTGGCATTCGCGAAGCAAGGTGCGAATGGGAACATCATACTTCCTGCGCATCTCGGCGGTGACATTGCTCTCGCTCCACGTTACGGAGTCGCTCATTGTAAGCCGCGTCGAGGCCCCCGGACCGGCGGCCAGTTGCTCCGGGTTTGGCAGGTTCACCTCCGTGTAGTGGTCGTGTGCAGTTTTGTATTTGTGCTGTATTCTCCCCTTGAGCAGGAATGTTAAACCGCACAAATCACATTTATAGTGCTTTGATTCGCGGTGCTTAGGCATCCTGTGGCGTTCGAGAGTCGACCCGCATCCGAGCTCGCAATCTATTAGATCACGACACCGACCTTTGGATACTTGCTGTTTCTTTGGTTGTGGACGGATCTCGACGCCGGAGTGACCAGTTTTTTTTCGTGCTTCGACCAGTTCTTACCGGCAAAGTAAGCTCCACAGCAATGGACATGCTTGATTTGCCGATGATGCCAGTAGCTGCGTGCGGGAAACGACGGACCGCAGATGCATTGGATGGGCGGCATTGGAGCGTAGTCCGGTCCTTGAGACTATGGGACCGAAATGACCTTGGCACAAGCTGATTGTATTGGAAATGTATCGCTGGAGGGAACGCGTCGCTGGAGGAAAGGTGTCGCTGGAGGAAGTGTGTCGCTGGAGGAAAGGTGTCGCTGGAGGAAAGGTGTCGCTGGAGGAAAATTGTGTCGCTGGAGGAAAAAGGTGTCGCTGGAGGAAAAAGGTGTCGCTGGAGGAAAAAGGTGTCGCTGGAGGAAAAAGGTGTCGCTGGAGGAAAAAGNAAAAAGGTGTCGCTGGAGGAAAAAGGTGTCGCTGGAGGAAAAAGGTGTCGCTGGAGGAAAAAGGTGTCGCTGGAGGAAAAAGGTGTCGCTGGAGGCAATATGTCATCCAGTGGGGCGTAAGGTCAGAGCGTAACGGCCCGCTTTAGCATGATGCCACGCCTGTATAATTGCTCCTTCGTCGCGCCAATCTGCAGCGTGACGAGTAGCGGCTACCAAATCTCTAGAGGTGCCGACGGGTGATCGATCGTAGGACGAGGAGCCAGTGACACCAAGTAATGCCGCCAGTTCTAGGTCGAAGAGTACGCTGGGACAGGAGCTTTGGGGGTGGGATTTTCGCTTTTACAGCATTCCGCTGCCTGGGAGTGGATGGCAGGCCTGGTCGTCATCTTCCCTTGCTGCAGCACCGCCTCCCAACGCAGCTCAAACAGCTGCAGCGCGCCGACAAAGTAGTTGCGCTGGTGCTCGCGCACGAAGTTGGCGCCCTCGCGCGCGGCTCCACCACCAGCTGCGTCTGCTCGCCCGGGCACCGACTTAATCCCGACGTACTCCATGGCCGCTTCCAGTCGTCGCTGTCGAGCTCGCGCGATGCGCGCCTCATCTCGGCGTCGCACCACCGAAACTGCTCGTTGGCGATGCGCACCAGCACCTCGGGCGAGTATGCCAGCAACTCGGCCTCAAGCTCGTGCAGCAGCGCCTTGGGCTTGGGGAGCGACCCAGACGCCGTCCATGTGTGCGAGCGGCGAGTCTCGACGATGCGCCATAATCAGACCGTTGAAGCAGATGAAGTGAAAGTGAAGTGAGGGGTGTTGAGTGCCAACGGCGTCGAGTGAGACGGGCCGTCGTTGTTGTTCAGTCCTCCAGCTACCTTCTCGCGCAGCTCCCCGCCTTCCTTGTTTCCACACCTACTTGGGTTTGCGTGGCCCGCTCGTTAGGACTTCCAGGTGGTAGCAGGAGGTGCCCATTTGTGCTGTGGCCAGCTCGCAAGAGACAATAGCTTTGCCCAGACAACAGCAATACTTACGCAGCGGGCGTCTCTCTATCTTCATTGCAGAACTGGACGTCCACGCATGGTGGTATGAGCCACATCGCAAAAGCTGGATACGAATGTACCTCACCGGCTCATGGCAAGGCGTCAACGACCTGGCGGTGAGTACGAAAGCATTCTCCAGCCGCCGCAAAGGGAGGCCACAGACAAGCTGTGCAAATTTTCTTCCATGAAAGAGTCAACGTCAGCGCTCAAGTTCAGCATTACTACAGTAGAATCCAGACTACAACATCAATCTTAGCAGAGCAGCTCCCAGGAGAAGTGCCCCCTGGGCTGTTGTGTAGGCTCGAAATCTGAATCCCAGCGTGGATCGTACCTCTGCGATTACCTTCCGGGGCTCATCCACTACCGAGGATGGCCACAACAGCAAGGTCATGGCGTTACTTAGCCACATTCTGAGTTTCAACCTGCCGTATCTTCTTTTCTCCGATCGGCCGATAAGGACCCTTTTGGCTCCGTCGCGACCCGGGAATATTCTGCATACCACCCGCAACTGAACGATATTCTTGCCACTGGCTGCGCTGATGCCTCCTTGCTGTCATAGTCATAGGAGATCCAATTCCCATCTATCTCCGCTAGACACAAGCCTTGAGAGACACAAGCCTTGAGAGTCAAACGATGTCGCAAGACGTCTGCCTCGCTTTGTGCAATACTCTTGGATGTCCACTCGAAAGGCAGACTCCTCTTCCGTAGGCCTTGCCTATGTATGGCGGTGGAGCGTCGTCGTTTGATGCACCCTGGATCGACTTTGCTGCCGATATGTCAGGACGTTGTCCATTCTGGGAAGGGGTAACTGACCTGTTCGCATGTCAAGAGGATTTGGACCATAGCACCGTTACTGTGGAGAGGCTGAGGATTCGGAGCGTTGTATGTCGGAGCAGGCCGACTATATAGGCTCGAGAACATGAAGCGGCACGTGCCCATGATAGACGTTGTGGCGCAGGGGCCAAACGACCAACATAGCCCCTGAACTACTGTAGCTTATGTGGGTGCTGCTAAAGTGTCAGATAACGCCTAATGGCGTGTTCGATCTCGGCAGCGACATTGTTCGACGTCCTTTGACGGGCAGTGCCACACCCAACGTCATCGATGGCCTTGATCCGCTGAGCACGCAGCCAATACTGCGAAGGAAGGTACTTCCCGCACGCCTCCTTCCCCGGCGCCGTCCTTGTGTTCCTGGTGAACCGCTACCATAGAGCATACACAGACAAGCGCCTCATGTCCGGCATGGCAACGACGGGCTGCTTATACAGGCAGAAGTTGAGGACCTATTTCACGTTGTGAGGCTCAGCTCCAGTCCCGACGGTTGTTCAAATCTTGGACACCAGCCGCTGCTGCGACGGTGAATATTGCGTGTAGGTCATCACGACTTGTCCGCTCATTGACCACTCGCGCTGCTGCAATTCCCAGTTTCCTGGACTGATACAAATGGTGACGCACACATCTCACTTCAGAACATTGTCCCTTATTGGAGCCGTGACCGCACTTGCCGCAATTTCGTACAAAGTTCCATCTCCGCCCAAGGACAGCATAGGGACTTGTGCATGTGACCGGCTCTGCCGTGGTGTGGAAGGCTGTGAGCAATCGACCATACAGTATCCAGCACGCCTTTGCGCACCGAAAGTGCGGAGACAGATGGGCGAGATGGGCTCCACAACCCCGGCCAAGGAGAAGCATGAATTGGCCCATGTGGTACAGTTGTCCGGTAGAGACTTTGCATTCCACGCCGGCATTGCCATCGAGCCGGGACGAGTTGTGGCATTGCGGAAACACGCGCCCAGTTCTGTATGGACATGGAGTAAGTGGACAGTAAGTGGACAGTTTGACCAGACCCAGACACCGCTTTCTGGGCGTCGTTGAGCGGTGTCTCCCGCTACCTTGTCTTCCGGTTCCTGACAAGCAGACCACTCCATTGAAGTGTGGTCAGGTGTGGTCAATCTGGCTCGCGCAATTGGAAGAAGAAATTGGATATTGGCTGCATCCAGATGAGGTGGCAGCACGACACTCCGTGCCATGCGTAGAGAGCGTCGTCCAACTCGTGTCATGCTGCTCGATTTGCATTCGCGTATGGTGTGTCAGGGCCATGTGCTGTGCGACGCTGCGGGGACGCCGTCCAGTTTTCGACATGCAGATTACTCTTTCAAGAGCGTGCGATTGTCCTGTTCTTCACGTGGCAGTTACCCACCGATCGTTGGCTTCTTGTCGCGCCGTTTGCCTGCTTCGTCCGCTCCCTGACGTGGTCGATTAGTGACGTGAAACATGTAAGTGGATGCGGCGGCCGGGACCCGCTTCGTCCGATGCCTGACATGCAGACCACTAAGGGCAGGGCCGTGCGCCGACCAATTCTTCTGCGTCGGGTTGGCAGCTACGGTACATGTCGGTTTCTCGACATTGTTACGGCAGCCAGAGCGTACCGTGCAGATCATTGCGAAGTAGGGGAGACCACTTCGTCCAGTTCTTGCGTCGCGTGTGGCAGCTTAAGTACATGTCAGCTTCGCAACGTGGTTGCATGGTGACGGCCAGTTCTGCCGCGCAGATCATTGCGGATGGCGGTGGCCACATCGTCCGCCTGGGCCATCAACATTCAGACCCGGACGAAGGCCGCCATGCAGGGCGCGAAGACGGACAAGATGCCATTAATTCGTCCAATTCCTTCATGTGGACGGCGTCGTCCGGTTCCAGACATGCCGCTCGCTGATGTGGAGCCTGTGCCGAGACGCAGTCGCAGGGGTTGTGCCGTCTAACTGCCGACTATGGCAATGGCGGACATTGTGCAAAGCTTGACAAGCAGATCATTGTAGCACATGCGGTCTTGGCACATTCTTCGGGTTCACGCTACGTCGCAGTTAAAGTCGGTTTCTTGACGTCGTCTGGTGGCATCTGGTGCTGCCGCGTCCATCGCTTCCTGCCGTCCAGTCTTTGCTTGCCATTGGCTGGTACAGGTCATGTCACCTTCTCGACGTCGTTACGTGGTGGGGGCGTCCATTGTCACCATGCAGGACGTTATGGGGTCACAGGACCTGATTCTGAATGTGCAGATCTTGTGCGGTACAGTATGCTGCTGCCGCGTCCGAAGGCGGCCAGTTGTCCAGTTGGAGAGATTTGCAACGGCAATGACACTGAAAGGTAGAAACCAGCCTTCTGTCCTAGTGTGGGCAAAGGGCGAGTCAGCTCGCAAGCGGCCATATTGTCGACTACAGTAACGTGCAGCTTGGTCGGGGGTGCGGAAATAGCACCCCATGGCAGCAAAAAGTGAACTTCCCTGACCTCATCCACACACCCCCAGAAACTCATCCTCGCAGCCAAAGCCTGCCCTGATATTCCCATTTTTGGAAGCCATGCTGGAAGGCCACAACCTCCCTGCGTACCTGCATCGGCCAACTCCTGATGTGCTTGGAAGGACACAACGCCTTCCGCATTCGTCACACCCTAGGAGTGCCTGTCACTTGTGCAGCTCCTGTATGTAACCGGGACATCTGGGAAGTGACAGGGAGAGCACTCAGGCTGAGGCATACATGGCTTAATGCGAGGCAATTCCACGCAAAGCCATATTACGACTTACGAGATCCAAAAGTTCATCTTTTCTTACCTTTTGTGGTGGCCAGCACGTAACCTTTGAGAAGCCTGACCCGGCTGCTCTACGGGTAGTACAGTACAAGTGGCCCATCGAGACTGGGACAAAAGGGCGGGCCGACAGTTTGTAACTTCTAGACTGGAAATGCTGAGGCAGACAATGTGACAATAGACCACAAAAGCACGCGAGTGTGGATCGCTGCTTGAGCCGAAAAAGGCAGGGCTGTCGAATAACTCTTCGTCATGTGGCAGATCCTGCAAAGCCAATAACGTACTCCATGATGCTCCAGGTTCGCACCATGTCGGTATATCCACGACTCTTTGATCTTGGTGCCAATGACTCGCTTGTGCCGAGGCCTCTTTTTGACCCCCGCAAGTCGTTTGCCGCCGTGCCAGATATTGTCCCAATCGATGTGGAATTCGGATGCCGACGTATCTGTTTCGAAAGTCGTGATGTCGGGCGAGGTCAGCCTGGCTTCGATTTCGTCATCAAGTGGGGTGGGAGATGGGTGGAACGGTGGAGACTGCGGCGTGGACAACACGGGGCTCGTGGTCCGACTTGAACACATGACAAAGTGGTTCTGCCTTGACAGAGTTCAGGTGGGTTACGTTGACGCGAAAAGTCGCGACTGGAGACGCGTCGTGGCACGCAGAAATGGCGGAATTCCTCAGGTGCGCCGACCAATGGCAGTCGTCGAAGCCCCAAACCCAGACCGCCTCAGACCACCAATCCGACCGGCGGCTGCGGTCGGTCGGTTTGATGAAAATCCGCGGTCGGTCGGTCTGCGGTCTGAAGGTGGGCTGTCAGACGGTCTGTCAGACGGTCGGTTTATTAGCCACACTGACCTTGGCGGAGAGAAATGCATGAAGCAAGGTCGGCGACGCACGGATCAAGGCGGCAAGGTCGCCCAAAGAGTGGCTTGCGGATAAAATGGCAACGAGGACGTCGGTATGGAGAGACTCTAGCGTGCGGATCCGAGTGTGCTTGTCCATGGTGATACAAGTCTACCAGGCACTTGGTAGAGGCGAGATGTCTTGATGTTTGCCAGGACATCGCAGTCCCCGACTTCCCGCGTGAGTCACAGCCTACGGGTGTGCAAGGCCAGGCACCACGAGTAAGTTGTACCACATGTGCATGTGCAGCCGCGCCGGAGCGAACGTTGGGTTAGAGCCTCAGAGGCAAGTCAACGTACAGCGTGCGATCGCTGTTGTATCGACGCACGTACATGGCGCATGCCATGTCTCGTAGAAACTCGTCTCTGTAGTCAAAGAAGATACTTGCATGCGTCTCATGTTCCTTCACCTTTATGGTCACGCGATGGTCTGTCCCTCCTCTGCGACGTGTCAATCTCCTCGCAATCTCCTCGCCATGTTTGAGCGGCACGTTCCGGTCAGCTCTGCCATACAGCAGCTGCACCGTCAAATCGTTGCGAATGTCTGCAACGTCGAATCCCGGGTCCGACGCAATCAGCTTCATGTCCTGCAGCCAGAATTGCGTGCCTTGCGCATGCACCTCCTCTTCGGTCCGGATCTGCACCTTCATCACGTCCGCGTCGCCAAAGATTCTGGCGTCCTTTGGCGGCAGGCTCGCCTGTGACGACTCGAAGCTCTTGATCAACATGTCCATGCGCTCTTTTCTGCTGCGATCCAGCCGCCCGGTTGGCTCGCGGTTGAACCACCACCCGAGAAAGCGCGGCGTGTAGCGCGCCGCGTATGTCCAGCCCAGGTAGTTCATGATGTACATGCCCCAGTATCCAATATCCGCTGGACCCAGGCCGCAGACGATTGCGACGACTTTGAGCTTGTCGGCGGGTAGCGCTCGGGCGCAGGCCAAGGCATACGGGCCGCCTCCCGAGACGCCGAGGACCCCATATTCGTCGGCGTGAAGATGCTGTGCGAGTTGTTGGATGTCGTCGGCGTGAGACAGCAGCGTCCGGTTCGGGTCCGCGGTCGATTTCCCTATCCCAGGCCGATCCGCGGCGATGATGCGGACGTTGTTGGCCTTGGCTGCCTCATGGAGATATGTTGCTTCGATGCGAGAGCCTGGCCAGCCGTGGAGGAAGAAGACGGTTTTGGCTGTCGGGTTCGTCGATCCGAACTGGGCGTAGCTTAGCGCGCGGGCGTCGGCAAGCGTCAGGGTCAGAGGCTCCGCGCTGTCAAGGCGATGGGCGCACGATGAAAGGGTCGTGTCTTCGTCGAAACGTGCGGCGCGGGCCGTGACGCTCCTCGTCGCAAAGTCAATCACCTGCGTGGCGAGAGTGGCCACCAAGGTCAAGACGGTGTCCAGGATCGTGAAGATGAGCGACACCACAAAAGTCATCATTGCGAGCCAGAGCCAAGCTTTGGAAACGTACGTGGCAACGGGAGAGTGCTGGTCGTAGATCGGCAGCTTCCCAGGGCTTGTTAGACAGATTGGCTTCACCGCCTTCACGGGGATGTATTTATGGGTCTGTAAAATTTGATCCAATCCGATGTTACAAAAAAACCATCCGCGCGTAAGATCATGCGCGCGTAAGATCATGCACGCGTATCTCTTTGCAGAACTCTCCCCTGTAAACCCCCCGCTCTCCTTGCAGCTGTTAGCGGCATGTTAGGGAGCGGGGTGATTGCAGGCCAAATGATCATGCTTTAGCTTGCTAGGCCTTGACTGGGCGCTAACGAGCACGAATGAAGGGCTTTGGAGAGTTCGACTTCATTTGGAAAGCTGGTCTCGACAGCAGCAGCCCGCGGGGTGCCATATGCCACGGGCGGCAAAGCGATACGCGCGAATAACGATACGAAACGACCATGTGGCCTGCCGAGGCGGCAGATGTGCAGGACGCAACATCTACGACGCACGCGATCGTCTCCCTCTGCCCGGCCCGGGGCGGGGAACGAGCGCGTGAAGCTACAGACGCGGCTTGCCCGGCGTGCACCGGGCCCTCGCCAAATCACGACCGTCGGCATACTGACAGCATACCCTTTTGTCTCAACCTTTCTTTTCAGCACAATCCCTCTACCTATACCTGTGGCTGCCCCATAGTTGGTAGGTTAGCTCCACCGGACGGCTATGGGCAGGTGGGCTCTTCGTCAATCGCGGCGGAGGAGAGTGGTCTGTTCATCGTCGGACAGACGCCAGAGTTAGGAAGGGACAGGTCAATTTGCGAAGAACAGATCGAAGGGTATGAGAGAACTTTGGAGCGCAAAGTCGAGAGACGAGAGCTGTTGAGCAGCAAGTGATGAGACGACAAACCGTGGGGCCTGGGGTGTCAAGTACCAAATGTATGGAAATGTGGCTAGCAACCGTCAAGGCCCTATAGGGACTTCTCTCCGGGCGTAATCTAATTATTCATTCATTCATTCTCCTTTGCAAATAGCACTACTCTATAACAGACACCGGGCCGTAACTTTCCACATCTTATTAGAATGGTACATGCTTGGGCTTGGATATTAAGCACTGATGTTGTCCAGGCGCTGTGGGCTCTAATGAACCTATCCATGGGACTCGAACCCATCGGGGTGGTCATCGATATGGTCGATACGATACGATACGATGTCGATATCGCCGACATCGTCGATACGAATTGCACGGGCCGCCTCGTCAATATTCTGAGGCAAGCACTGTAGAGTAAAGGGCAAAAGTATTCTCATGGCCAGGTCCCTGTCTCATATTCGTAGTATGGGCGAATGCGTCGTAGCGGACGACTTATTTCACCGTACAGTAAAATACTTCGCCACGCCTTGCACTTTAGAACAGTGGTGCAAGGCGTACAATCAGCCGAAGGCTGCAAGTCCGTGGTCAACAGGAAGGCCGGCCCGAAAACTCAAGAGTCTACAATCATACATTCGCTGCGTCATCTATGTCGTCTTGGTAGCATCAAGTGGAGTTATGCAACCACGGATTCCGAGTGAGAACCTGCCTACTCCTAAACCTTTGGTCCCTCATCTTCATCTTGATACCCTCCGGGGGAGATGTGTATGTCAGATGATTGCGGTCGAACGGGGCATCGAGCATCAAACCCTGCAGTGTTTTCACACGCGAGACGGCCACATAGCTCAACCCTGTCTGAAAGTCACGGCAGGAGAGGTCGGTCACGATCCTGTCTTCGGTGATGCTCTGCGACTTGTGAACCGCAATGGCATAGCATACGACCAGGGGAAACTGCGTGCGAGTGCAGAGTGTGGCTCCAACGAGGAAGTCCCTGTCTACTGCCAGAATCGGAACAGTCTTCCTACCATCCGCGGTGGTCAGGAATGCCGGTCCGGTATACTTGTCAAACTCCATCATGATTGCACACGGCTTGTCTCGGGTGGGGTCAGCGCCAGGTGCCCAGCCAATGTCGTACACTGTGCCACGAGCGCCGTTGCAGAGGCCAACTTGTTGCCAGAGGTTGCACGTCAGCATCAGGCGCGCACCAATGCATACGGGGACCTGTTTCGCAAGGTTGCCCGCCTTGTCGTCCGGAGCAGCAGCCGCGCCGGGGCCAACGTTTGTAGCGATGACCTGGATGACTGGTCGGTTGAGGCGGTCAAGGTGGTAATGGTTATATTCGTTCACCCGGTCTTTCGTGGCGTATACTCGTAAGGCATTGGCGAACCTGGCGACCTCTTGATCGTCTAACTTTGCCTGCACACGGCCGGAGAGAAGTCTCCAGGACTGGTGGGATAGTTGGAGCAGCCGCAGTTCTCCGAGAGCCTTGCGAAATGCCGCCTGATCATCACCGCACTGCCGCTGAACGACGCTCAGGAAGACGGACTTATCGAAGCGCATATACGCGTTCCTTCCCTTGATCTCTACTCCCTGCACCTCTTTGTCGTAGTACAGCGGCTTCTGTAGAACAGGAGGGAGCTGGAAGAAGTCGCCAACCAAAAGGACATTGAGTCCGCCAAAGAACTCCTCGTTCCTATGTGGAAATGCCTCGCGGAGGCGGTCGTCAATCCACGATAGCATACGCAGTCCTAGCATGCTTTTCTCGTCAATGATTAGGTACTGAATATCCTTCAGCTTCTTCTGGAGCTGGGCCTTGTCGATGGCGGAGAGCGGCCTGAAATCCTTGTTGATCGGAAGATGAAGCAGCGAGTGCAAGGTGGTGCCTGATATCTGATTTCCTGCGACGCCCGTCGGTGCGGCGCGCCACACAGGTGTCCCTCTCCCACGTGTCGCGGCCTGGAGGTGCGCCGAGAGCAGGTTGATGAGATAAGACTTGCCTGTGCCACCGCCACCATCCACATGGAGTAGCAACTGGGAACGGTCCTGGGCGAGAAAATGACCCATCACTGTGTCATACACTACGCGCTGCTCTCGATTCAGGGCATCGCGTGCTTCCAAGGGCCAATGCTCCACATCAAGATGAAAGGAGCTTTCCGCCTTGCGTTGCTCCCAGTAGTTGCCGTTGAGAATGTCGTCGCTGGCATACCGTCCAATATGAGGAGTCCAGTCATAATTCACGTCGATATCTCGCCGGCCAAGTACGTCGATGTCTTCTTCCTCCAGCGGCCGGTCTGGCAGCATGCGGGCGAGCTCATGCCAGTCCTCTGCGATGGGCTCGTCATGCACCTCCTGCTCAAACTCATCGTCCTCCGCCTGTAGCTCGTTCATTCCCACGTCTCCGTAGTGGTCGTCCTCATGGAAATGGTGTCGCTGCCGACAGCACTGGTACGCCGCAACAAAGGACTCAAACCGCAGCCCGTCCACAGAAAGCAACTCCTCCGGAGCGCGATGCGGATGTGCCATCATCAACTTGACACAGCAGAAGTCATGAAACTGGGCTGAGGCTTCCACTGGCCTGTACCGAGGAGAGTAGGACAGAACTCTCTTCTTCGCGTTCGCACCAAGTCTCCTCCACGTTTTGAGATTGTACGACTGAAGGTACTCGAGATACGTAATACTCTCATGCTGGTCATTTCTCTGCAGATACTTCCGGTAGCTGCCGACCGCCTCAGTGACATCATCATCAACGCGGTACGACCGCGCATGCTGCTCCAACGGGCGGCAGTCGACGTACACAACCATCCGAGTCCCTTCCTGTAGTGGGATATTGAGCAGCAAGTGGGAAATTTCCTGCGCTGAATAATCTCTCTCGGCAATCAGCTTGTTCATAAGGCGAGAGGAGAAGGACAACAGGGGTTGGTGGTGTGCTGTATGCGGCAAAACCTGATCCGCCAGCCTGCAGTAAGGCTCTGTCTTCTTCTCCGATTTGCTGCAATACTTGGCAGCGTACGTAATGACTGCTTGCAAGCTGGTGCACGGAGATATGTCAATGTTGGCCAGCCATCCCAGGATGATGGCAGGATTGAAATGGTTCATGAGGCTGTCGTTGCGGGCCGCCTCGAAGATGTAGTACGACTTGCCTTCCTTCCTGATGACCGCGGCCAGCTCTCGCAAGGCACGGGGGAAGTCAAAGCGGCACTCTCTTTCTGGATTCGCTACATTGGCCGCCTCAATGTCGGCAGCAGCTCCTTCGATGTCCCTCTTGAGGTCTCCGCTTCCTTTTCTGACACGCAGGCAGTACGTGGTATTGCACCTGTGGCGCTGGCAGCGGTTGACGATTTGCGAGAGCCGCAGGAAGGTCATCTCCACGCCTAGCGGATCCACACTCAGTGGATTACACTCCCCTGAGGCACAGCCCTACGGGGCTCCGGGTTCACGGCCGTGATGTGGAAGCCCCATATGCGTGCAAACATGTCACGAGCGGCTTCGTCTTCCATGTCGGCGGCTGGGCCCTCCTCCATCCAGTACAGACCGTGGTTGAGCGGACTACCACGGCCTTGCCATTCATACCGATCCCAGTAATCCGTGACGTTGAATTTTTTCCGCAACACGATGTCTCGAAAGAAGCAGTATCGGCGGTGGAAGTGGAAAGCAGCAATGTGAGGGTTCTGCCGCAATAGGTGCCGCGACAATGCCATCCTTTCCGGCTCGGACGCGCGCAGCCATTCTCCATACCGGGGCATATGCTGGTAGAGGCTCCGCCAGTGCAAACCGGCCGGGCTAAATGTCATAAATGCGCCGGGACAGCCCAGGCTGTATGCGTACGCTTCAAGGTCCTGCCTCTTTCTGTTCCAAAAGGGGCGCGTACCGCGAATCGACACCGCATGCCTTGTGATGGCGTTGATCAGCGCCTGCGCCTCGGGATCCTCGCTGTGTTCGAGTGCCTGAATAAGCTGCTCTCGCGTGAGCGGTTCACGGGTGCCATCATGTCGCTTCACGAAGAATTTCGACCGCGCACGTGCTTGGGACCGCATCAGGGTGTTGAATGCGACAAAACGGAATGTTGGGTGCCGCGCAAAACGCCCTTCGTGCCACCGCATCGCGTGCTCGATGTAATCCTTGTACTCAATCGACCGCAAGCGAGGCTCCACAAAGTCGGCTCTGCCGTCCGGAAAGAGGCAGGGGAATGCCAAGGAGAGCAGGGCGTGAGAGCGATTGAACTCGTTGATCGGCGTGTGCCGTATAGTCGGGAGCCGCAGTTCGTGCTGCGCCAGCCCCTGGGAGCCCGTGGCAAGAGGAAGACCCCGATTCAGTTCTGGCCCGCCCACGAGGATGGACCGCAGAGCATCGAGCTCCGTGTCCTTGGCCAAAAGGTCAGGCACCGCAGCCGCGTCTTCTAGCTCATGCTCTGCCTCCTGGTCCTCTTCCGGTCCCACATCGGCAGCCTCCACCTGGCTCTGGGGGATGGCATCGACCACATTGCCGTCCTCGGGCAGTTGGCTCAGTCGCTCGTTGCCAATGGCGATGCATCGATAGCCAGGATGATGATGGCGGAGGTAGTCCAGCCATATCATCACGGCCTGGCGGCGCACACGGAACTGGTGGGTAAATTGCCGGCTCAGATTGGGGTGTGACGACGTGTTGGCAGGGCGTAGCAACACCGTGTTCAACTCCCGTGGCAGAAGCGGGAGCTGGTTGTACACCAAGCCAACTTCGCGAAGAAAGTGAACGACATGCCCCCGATACTTGTACTGCTGCCCTCGCACCAGCATGATGTTCACATGGACGTGGACGCGAGCAATCAATGACTCCTCTGTAGGCGTGAGCTCAGGCAATCGAGCCGGTACGGGGCCGAAGTCAAGTTGATTTTCGGCAGAGAAGAAATAAGGCTCGTCCGGGCCACGCTTCTCATCCTTCCGGTAACAACGCGAGCAAATGCCGTCATAGTCGATTCCCATCTGAAACCAACACTCGCGACATCGGCTGCAGTATTCCATCTGGTCATTGTCAAGTTTAGTCCAAAACTCGCGCAAAGTGGCCTTGTCGCGGTCCGTCAAGGCGCAAGCGTCGAGGTCGCCATTCCACACCGGATCTTGCGCAAGGAAGACTGCCAATTCTTCCGGTGGAATTATCACTGGACTGCGAAGACGTCGTTGCGGTCTCGGCGTCCGTGCTTTTCTGCGAGATTTCCTTGGCCGCCCTCCTGTACCTGGGGCGGGACCGCGGCGACCGCGCCGTGGCAGTGCGGACGGCTGCAGCGGCCGATGGCGAAGAGGGCTTCTATCCACAGAAGAATCATCCCTCTCGCTGTTGTCGGCTTCCTCCCCCGGTTCAGAGTCTGGCTCGACCCCTAATTGCTCGAGGTACCTGCGTGGTCGGGTGGGCGAAAGCAGTACGTTGGCATAGTCTTCAGCATCAATATCGGACTCCGAGAACTGGCCTCTGTCGTCTCCTTCCTCCGATACCATATCCCCGACTTGAATCCCACCTGTCCACGGTCCTTGACAGACACCTAGTTGAGATATCGTGGGCGTCGGTGAGACAGTTTCTCCTGCACGGCGCCGTGAACGATGGTCGCGCTGAATGGCGGCCAACATGACCTTCGCCCCAGCCGCGGAAGGGTTATCTTGAGAGCCCTTCCCTCCTTTGCGATATCGGCTAGCCGAGTAAGCGTGATCCACGCTTCTTGTGCTGCTTCCGATAGTGGCCGGGTCGGAGAGTGACATCGGACACGTAGTCTGCCCAGCAGGCGAAGGAGCTAGCGTCCGGAGGAGCACCGAGCTTTGTTGGGTTGGCGGCAACGGCGTCCCTAGCTCTACACGTGGCTGGCTAATCGGGGATTCGAATAACGTCCTCGCCGTACGACGTTGCTGTGCACTCTCCGACGACGTCGGGTGGGTTCTATCGCCTGAAACCGGTGCCATGGCCCCTGGCGATGCCGATAGCCCTGGTGAAAGTGAAGACTTGAAGCCGACCGGGGCGCGGGGTAGCCGTACCAAATCAATTCACAAGGACAAAGGACCATCCCGACTTGGCGACCACAGAACACCAAGCAAGGTCCCTGGAAGGGTCGAACCGTGCTTCGCCCTAAGGTACGGCTGCTAATACGAACCTTCTGCTGAAGAAAACGAAGCAGGCCAAGAGGCTTCCCCCGCTCGGTCCAATTCGCGACTTCCCATGCCGCCCCTGCGTCACGCGAGCCGTCAAAGCTCCCGACCACGAGTGTGCCTCACAAAATAGTAAGTCGGACGCAGAAGGGCAAGAACACCCGTCCTGCTAATTGTGTCTTCAGACGCTGGCGCGGCCTGCTGGGACTGCGCCAAGAACGGCCACACCTACAAGCCAGTAGGTAGTCTAAGAACGGGCCACACAGCCGTGACTGACGGCGGCATTCCTAGGTACCAACTGGCGCCGTTGCGGCTATCCGTACCTTCTGGCAGCTCAACAAAGCGCTCAGGCTTGCCAAGGAGGACCCGAATGACGCATGGAGTCAAGCAGCGCAGCAAGCAGCGCAGCAAGTGCGGGCATGCGGCCCGGGTGCAGCGGCTTTCTCTGCTGCACCCGGGCCGCTTCACATTCTGCCTCCTGACGAGCGAAAGCTTTTAGCGCTCGAGACTATTGCCGAAGCTGCTCGACTATGGATTGTGAGTAGTCTGACTGCCACTGGCTCGTTGTGCTTGTTTCTGAACTTCTCTGCGGGAAGTGAACACTCTCGATGAGGATCGAGAAAAAAATGGGTAGAATAAAATAACATGGTACATATCAAGTCACGGCCGTTCAATGATCCATAGTGTTGGAAGGACAAACCCTCCCCTTGCAATCTCTAAGTGTATCTGAAATGCTGGGGCTCCATCTCCAAAATCGGCCAGTACGGGCTCAGGTAGCGGCCTGGCTTGACAAAGTTCAGGGAAAAGTCGCGACGGGAGACGCGTCGTGTCTCGCAGAATTGATGAAAATTACTACGGTGCGCCGACCAATGGCGGGTCCTTTAAGCCCGAAACCCAGACCGCCTCAGACCACTAATCCGACCGGCAGTGAAGGTGGCGGTCGTCCTGGAATACCGATGTGTGGTAACTCGCGCGCGCCGACCTCTTCAATATATGAGGCGATCGACGACCTCTGAACTGAACTGAACTGAACTGAACTGTATTCCTACTCCAGTGTACAGGGAGAGACGAGAAATCAACTAATCTTTATTATTTCTTAACTGGAATTGTTGTGTGGTTGGCCTGCTCCCATGATGAGCTCGCCAGCTCGAGCGGGGACCCTGGTGGGGTCGCGCCGCGGGTCGGTGACGCCAGCGGGGCGTCGAACCATGAAACGGAAGCTGGATGACAACGCGAAAGAGCCGAATAAAACCAGTCGGTACGGCACGAGAGCGACAACGCGGGCAGCGGCGGCGGAAACCAATGACGCGTCCGTGGCCGTCGAGAGAAACAGCAGCAATCGCGAGGAAACGACGACGCTGCAGTCAGCCTTGGAGCTGCTGGGCGCGTACCGCACCGTGGTTCAAGAGCTAAGGGAAGCAATTAAGGACCAGAACGAGATTATCCACACCCAGCAAGGAGCGATCCGAGAGTTGAAGGATGCAGCCGAAGAACAGCACAATTTGATCCGTGATTTGANAAGGCCATCATCCAGTTGAGTTACGTTTGGGAAAAGCTACAACCAATCAGATGTCAGAAAACTTAACGGATCCCCTGCTGCACCAAACCCTCATATTTGGGAAAACTTATTCACTTAACTTAATGTTAAGTCAGCCTACGGCTGAATAACCCCTGGAGACCCCTGGCAGCGGCGCGGTTAAACAATTTACCGACGCCGTGTAAGTCTGCGTGATAGCCATAGTACCGGCGCATGACACCTTCCTTGGCGGCATCGCGCGCCTGTGCCTTGGCACTCTGCAGAAGCCTGTTTTCAGCGCTGGTGGGTATCCACAGGACTGCCATCATGTTTCCGTTGCGTCTGAGTGCTTCGACGGAGTCATATGTGCATCCAGCATACTCTTGGCCGGGCTGCTGGCGAGGGTTGCGAAGTGTGAGCGCGGCCGCTCTGTTGCTCGTCAAGAGTGCAATGCTGCGGTACCGCAGCTCTGGCAGGCGGCGAAGCACACATGCCATAGCTGCTAGCTCTCCAGAGAACGGATTCTGCTCCGTCCTCATGCAGAGTGTGAAGGAGAACGGCTCTACCTTCGGTCCCCCCCGCACCGACGCTGGGAGGTTGACCGCGCCGCAGACCCCCAAGGTTACTAAGTCCCTGCACATAGAAATGGGCACCCTCCTGTTTTGGGCACCTTAAAAGGAACTCGTCAGAATTCATGGCCATCAATTAAATCATCATTTACTCGCAACCAATGTGCAGTACTGTAGGATACAATCATCACCAATTTCGGGTACTTCGGTCTCAGTTCCATCAGATTCATCATTCACCGCTGCCTTGACAACCTCCTTCGCCCGCCGTATTGCCTCAATGTCGGCGAACCCCGAATTCGGGCTCGTATCCACCCTCTTCCTCTTTTTCGGCTGGACGGCCGCCAATTGTGTTTCCTAGGGCCTGAATCTGCACTTGGGCTTTTGCCAGAAGGCCATCCTTTTCATCAAACCCTTTTGTCATTTTCCTGAACATCAATCTCTTCGTTGGCGCGTCGTCGTCCAACTGGTTAAATTGGACCACCTGAACCTTCAGATCATGGGGACGACTCGGAGTCGACATGCAATCTGTGTTGCATCTGACTGCCAGTCACGCGTAGAAAAAGGACTTTTTATTGCATCGATTTTTGGCGTGCTTCTTACGTGGTTGCTGTTCTCCAGCAGAAGAGGTCTCAAAAGTGGCTTCGCCATCGGCACCGGCCACAGACCGGTCGCTTTCCAGCCACCCTGGATGCTCGACGTAGTGAGCGCTTGTTCGCGAGCGCTCTGTCCCCTGCAAACCGAGATTCGCCCTCATGCGTCGGCCGATACACACGTCTTTCTGGTGAACGACAGCCGGCCCGGGCTCACGCTGCATCGCCAGCCGCCTCCCGCTGCAGAGATCGGCAATCATCGGCCATCGCCGGCATACTCCGGCATGTTTGCCAGGCGAGTCTCCCACCCTAGTGCTGGACTTCTTCGGTGAGTCAAGGGCTGCAGCGATCCCCTTCGCGTCGAGTTGCCGTGTCCGACGACCGGATTCGCCGGTGCGACATTGCAACTTGTTTCTTCGCTGATTCTCTCTCCGCCACCATTGGGCCCAATCCAGTCCTCACTTATCATGTCTGGCTTATCCCAAAATGAATGGGCAGTTGAGCCACGGAGCGCTGTTGTCTCATTGGCGACGAAATGACTACCAGTAAGCCAAGTCCTGATACTGGTTTGCTCGCAGAGGCTAGGAGAATTGCCCAACAATTCGACCTGAAGCCTGATGATGTCGCCCGGGCAGCAGACCACTGCCTCCAGCAGATACGTACGTCTTGATACCACCTCTCCCTAACAGGTCCGTCATCGCGGTTAACACAGCGACAGAGCACTCGCTCGAGCACAATGGCGCAACGCAACTGCCATCTTTTGTGACCAAGGTGCCAAATGGCTCCGAAAGGGGCATGTTCCTGACCGTCGACCTTGGCGGCACGCATTGCCGAGTCTGCTTGGTAGACTTACACGGGGACTCGACGTACACGCTGATCCAAACCAAGCATGTAATCCCCCGAGCCTTGAAGGTCAACCCCAGCTATAAACCCTTGTTCGGTTTTGTCGCAGACAAGATCGCCGACTTTCTCAGTCAGCATCCAGAAGCGGACGCGGAGAGCGTCAAGGGAGAGGCAGTAAAAAGAGACGACTACCGCCGGCTGGGCTTCATCTTCAGCTTCACGTACGAGAGCCACTCACTCTCCAGCGGGACGACGCTGCAGTGGGATAAGGGATGGGACATCGCGGATGCCTTGGGCAGAGACCCGTGCGAGATGCTGCAGACCGCCATCGACGACCTTGAATTACCCGTGCTCGTCTGCGCCATGACCAGCGACAGTGTCGGCACGTTTATGGCAAGAGCTTACACATCGCCGCGGAGCTCGGCGACACTCGTTGGCGCCGTATTTGGCACGGGCACCAACGCTGCGTACGTCGAATGCCTGGAGAATGTTCGAGTGCTCCACGCCCAGAATGAGTTCCGTAACCGCCGTTCAGGAAATGTCATGATCATGAACACGGAGTGGGGGGCATGGCTGGACGATGACAACACGGTTGTGCCAACGACGACCTACGACGTCCAGTTGGATACGGCATCTACAAACCCCAATAGGCAGATTTTGGAGAAGCTAACCTCGGGCATGTACCTCGGTGAGCTGGCACGACTGGCAATGCTCCAGTTGTACCAGGCGAAACAGTTCGACATGGTTGTTCAAGACGGGTCTCCTCTATGCACAGTGGAAGCGGTGGATAGTTCCCTCCTTTCTCTCATCGCTGCAGATGGTGACGAGTCGCTCACGCAGTCGAGGCGCCACATCTCAGAAGCTCTGGAGGCGCAGGGCGTGTCCGTCAGTGACGCAACCGCCGTGCGCTTGAATGCCGCAGCTATCGTCCGACGTGCCGCGCGCTTGGCTGGCGCCGCCACGGCCGCCATTATTCTTCAATCTGGCCGTCTCGAATATGTCGACCACACCGACAAGGGCATGGATAGCGTCTACCGAGAGCGAGAGGGTACTGAATCGAAGTCTTCCTGGTCTTGGACTCGTAACTCTGTCTGGTCCCTGGTCCGACGAGCTGTCAACTACATCTTCCGTTGCTTTACAGGGCGAGATCCCTATGCGGCGTCCGTGTCGGAGCATGGACATCAGCAGGTAGTTGGATGGGCTAACATCGACATCGGCATCGAAGGTTCTCTTGTCGAGCACCATCCAGCCTTTGAGAAAGAAATGCGATGGGCGTTGCAGCGAGTGCCGAAAATTGGGCCAGACGGGGAGAGGCGGATTACAATAGGACTCGCTAAAGATGGTTCAAGCCTGGGCGCGGCGCTCGTAGCGCAATCGGTACAATAGATAGGAATTGCTAACGTTACACTATGAGTTTCGTCAATATTGTATTGTACTAAGTTAGTTACCCCAGTATGGATTGCACACCTTTCCATGTATGGAAAACCACCCTGATCACACGCTTTGGCCTTTTCGAGTCATTAGTCATGCCCTTCGGTCTCTGCAACGCCCCCGCTTCGTTCCAACACTATATCAACCATACTCTGTACGACCAGCTCGATAAGATCTGTACGGCCTATCTCGACGATGTCTTAGTCTATTCACAAACGCGCAAGGAACACCGCCAACACGTCCGCGAGGTTATAGACCGC